GTCATGTAATAGTCTTTAGTTGTTACTTGTTACGTACGTTATATAACTCTCTCTCTCTCTCTCTCTCTCTCTCTCTCTCTATTTTCTGATTAATATGCTCCATCTTGGAATTGTTGCTTATTGCCACTAATTTATGTGCAATGTCACTTTTGCAGAACAAGCTGGCGTGCTTCAGGTCCTTCCAAGCACTACGTATCAACTCCATTCTAGGGCACACTTTCCATAGAAAGTTGTTCATCAATGAACCTGTTTTCAGATGTTTGTTATGTACAAGAAAAACACTTATATGTCATGTAATAAATGTACATGACAAACACTTATATGTCATATAATAAATGTTTCTTGCCCGGACCAAATTATGAGGGTTCGATATTCCTCACCTTCTTTGGAATGTAAGCCATGACTTATCTGTGTGACTTTCGGCTATTAGTCTGATTTCTTTTTTTAAGTAACTAGTGTCTGAATTTAAGGATTTCTCGGTGCACAGGCAATTGAATGAAAAGAAAGTATGGTATGATTTATGTGATCACCATGACTGCTTGGTGGGTTTTCACCATCCTTTCAATGTGATAATTTAAGAATGGGATGCCACATGTTTGGTGGGACCCGCTCTTCGTGTGGGGATATCTGGTGGGACCGGCTCTAGGTGTGGGCTGGTGGGACCCACTCTCCGCTACCCTCCAACTTGGGGATAGGATGTATGGTGCAACCCACTTTCCATCACTGTTGAATGTATTAAGGGGATAGTGATGACTCGTATGACCATGCGGTTATGATGACCATATGGATCTTTCTCTGAATTTCCTTGTGTATAAGACATAAATCCATTTCCAAGTATGTCACCTCTGCCCAAAGAAAAATGGAAAAGTATAGAGCGAGACCGTTTACGTTTGATACTAGGTGGTTACATTAATCTTGACTATTGGATATGAAATTGGGTGTATGCACTTATTCCATTGACCAAGCTCAAACGTCAAAAGAAATTTTTTCGAACTTTGTGATACATCCAAGCTATCAAATTTCACATCAGGTAAATGGTGTCATTGTATACAATCTTAAGACTTATTCCAAACTAGTTTTTTGAACCTGATGAAGCAGAAGTAATGCTCCTTATTGATCCAATAATCCAATAATCCAAGGCTTAATAAGAATCATAACATGGATCAAAGAGCTTCGAGGAGATATTGGAAGTGGAGTGCGGGATAGGGAAAAGAAATATATAAGGAAATGTATACAACGAGAGCATTTACTTTTGATATAAGGAGGGCACAATCATTATTAATCATTAGATGTAAAATTAGATGATTAAGACAATATCATTAATTAGATACAAGTCCAAAATAAAATTTCTCGAGTATTATGATACACTTCAATCTATTGGATTTCACATTCAATAGTTAAAAGTGATTGTAACTTCTATATACAAAAAGTAAATGATCTCATAGTAAACAATCTCAATATATAATAGGCAAGTTGTGCGGTGCATAGCAAGCATGGGCACATCTAGCACCAAATGATGAGTGTTCAAGGTCAACTATAACAAATATGCATACATGATTGACCACTTGGGAAATTTTTCATATTGTGGTCATGTTATTTATTATAAATTGTTGTCAGAGATAGCAGTTGCAACATGAGAAAAAAGAAATTCGAATATTTGAGTTTTTAGAAAGTCTGATTAAAGGCATTTCTAGCTTTTATATAAATTGGATTACATATTATCTTGTGATTTTTTATGTTATTTTATTTTTTTTAGCAGTTTGACTATTTACATACACTCATATCTTAGTTGAACATTGTGGCTTTCATTCCCACTGATAGCTTCAAAAACCACTAACTAATTCAAAAACGGGTAGGGACCTATCATCCCCACTGAGTTCCCAAAAAAAAGAAAAAAATTGTTTGGCTAAGAAAACCAGAATTTATGTTTTCTTATTAGGGGCACATTTGATTTGCAACTAGCTTATAGACTCTCTCGTCAGTACATTATAAATTGACACTAAATATCAAATGCGGGCTTAAATCTTGATCATAGAAGCATGGATCATTCTCTTTCTTCTTTTTCTTTTACCGTTTGTGTGTGTGTGTGTTTACAATAAAAAATGCGGGCAAGGAACTCGATCCCCACATTGGTTTTGGGTGAAAATAAATCACATGAGTTGGTAGAGAGGGTCATGTCAAATTACGTTCCTAACGAGAGTCGGGCCGCAAGGCCTTCCCCAGCTCGAATCACAGGCAAAACCTTCTCGTATACCTTAGCCTTGGAGATAAATGAATTGAAGATCAAGAACTAAGCAACGAAAGCATTAAAACAAAACAAAAGAGCAATAGATGAAACTAGACAAATATTAATAGGTATGCAAAACCAAAACTAAGAGCTAGTTGTAAATACTAAAAATAAACATGAAAAATGAAAATAAAAAGGCTAATAAATGATCATGAATAATGAATGAAAAGAGAGAGAGAGAGAGAGAAATGATACTTGAGGTCAGGCCCCTTGACCCGACACCTGGAGTTGGTGTCGATTCAGAGTATATTATTGCATGGTCAGTCCCGGTCCTTCAGTTTTTGATGAGGCAAGAGAATCTAGGCGGAAGAAGACCCAAAAGTCTAATTATCTGAGGTACTTTCGGGTTACAGTGTTGCCTGAAGGGTATGAGAATTCGGAAGAAGACCCGAAAGTCTAATTATCTGAGGTACTTTCGGGTTATAGTGTTGCCTGAAGGGTATGAGAATTCGGAAGAAGACCCGAAAGTCTAATTATCTGAGGCACTTTCGGGTTAAAGTGTTGCCTGAAGGGTATGAGAATTCTTGTTTTAGGTCGACTATAGTTCGGGTTAGGTTTGTGTTCATTCTGACAGAGCTTACGTGCTTAATCTCTTTCTGAACCTCTCTACTGACAGAGCTTACACGCTTAATTGTAAAAATCCCAGCCCTGGACTCAAGGGCAAGTGCCTTATTTATAGGCAAAACCAACTTAGGACCACCACTGGATCTTTTTTGGTGCAATTTGGGCCCTTCATTTTTCGTCGCCCTTCAGACGGGCTTCGATGGCACTGCCAATGGCGTCGAATCCACATTAACTATCATTAAATGTGATCAACAGTACTAAATGTGCCTTAAATGCTTTCTAATCACGTGATGTAGTATTTGCACTGTTATGCTAGCAGAGTGTTAGAGAATTGGCGTCATTGGCACTGGCGCCACCACCAGTCAAACCAGCTTCACAGAAAAACATGCCACATGTCATCTTCTTGGCGTCCTTTCGTACATTTGATGCACCAATCATAACTCAAAGCATATCCTGCTTCCTTTGGCACACTTATGAGCTGTGACGGTGTCAGAATGTCATTCCAGCTCTTTCATACAGTTGGTAGCTGATGTGATGTTTTCTTGATGAATATGAGGACAACCGGTTTTCGTACTAACATCTTACATGTCAGTACCTTCTGACACGTGTCAAACCATACTAGCATGCAACTTTGGGGCCGTACGCCAGGCTGTAGCCCAAATTTTGACTGTCTGGGGCCTGACGCTGGTCTAAGGGATGTTGGGGCCATTGGCAATGGTGTCAACGCCCTTCTCTCTCCATTCAGGTTACTTTTGTGTCGCCTTTGTGTTGGTTTTGTGAGCTGCTTTCCAAAACCTTCTGCTCCCTAGTTGTTGTTGGCTTGGTGGTCTCGATATCTGGTTTGCCTTGCTTTGTTCCTTGAGTGTTTTTAGCTATGTCAAAATGATATTAGGGGTCATGGGGGCTACTTTATGAATGAGTTAGGATGAGTGTGAGTGGTTCAAGCATCGGGGTGGCTTTTCTCGGGTACTTTGGTCTCCTACAGTTTCCTCAATCATGATTGGAGTGTCAACAATTGCTCCTCTTTGATGCTTGTATCGCAAGCGAGCAGTAGGACACATGGCGACAAAGAAGTAGACACCTGAGATATAGAATTGGGTGGTGAGGAATCGATACATCGTCATTCCTCAAATGCCTGTCATTGTAAGACCATGGTGCCTATTGGTCACACAAGGGACCTGGAGGTTAGCTAGCCCATCATTCGAGGCAGTCGCAGGTAATAGTCCTCTATTTGTAGGTCGGAGGCCGATGCACCAGTACCCCATAGAAAGTCAAAGTTTTAATAACTGGGCAGAATGAATTAGGTGTGAATGGAAGTAAAATCTTGATTGAGTGAGCCATAGAAGAACTCATGCCTCATGTGCATTCCTAGGTTTTAGGGTGGTGATGACTTGGGAATTAGGTGTTTTTCTTTTGTTTTTTGGCTTTGATGGGGAAAAAGGGTTGTGGTGTTTTCACTGGTCGTAGTCGTTACCCTTCTGGACCAGGCGACCATATGCATTCTTATCATCATGATTGGGGTCATTTCGATTCCTTTGTTTTTTGAAAATATGTTTTGGCAGATGTTTTGAAACCAGGGGGAGAGTGAGTCTTAAAACAAAAATTGACGTCGGATTACAATTTGAACCAAAGAAATTAAAGTTTTTTAAATCACATAAATTATGAGTTTTTATGAAATTCTCAGACTGAGTTGCCCCAGTGTTGTGTTTTTGGAAGAAGGGTGAGTTTTTGAAAAAAAATAAGATGAGTTTTAAAGTATAGATTTCGAAACATCTACAAAAAATGTTTTAGAAAATGAAGGAGTGGGAACAACCCCGATAATGATGATAAAAATGCACATATGGTCACCTGGTCCAAAAGGCGATGACCACGACAGGTGATAAAAATGCACATATGGCCTCAGGTGTCTACTTCTTTGTCGCCCTATATCCCACCACTAAAGTGCGATACGAGTGTCAAAAAGGGGCAACTTTAGATAGCCCAATCCCGATTGAGAGAATTGTGGAAGACCAAAGTACTCCGGGTAAACCACCCCAATACGCGAACCACTCACACTCATCTTGACCCATCTGTAAATCGGCCCCCATGAGTCCCAATATCGTTCTGACAGAGCTAAGAGAACTTGAGGAGCAAAACAATGCAAGCCATGACTTGGGACAACCAAGCCATAAGCCACTTGAAAGCAGAAGTATTTGGCACCAATGAGGCAGCTCCCAAAGCCGACACAAAGGCGACACATGAACCAGAAGCAACCTAAATGGAGAGTGAAGGGCCTGATGCCATTGTCAATGGTGTCAACACCCTTTAGCCCTACATCATGCCCAGACAGTCAAAATTGGAATACAACCTAGCGTACGGCCCCAAAGTTGCATGTTAGTACAACTGACATGTGTCAGAAGGTACTAACATGCCAAATGTCAATACGAAAATCGGTTCTCAACCTCGGATTTATCGAGGAAATGTCACATCAACTACCAACCGTACGAAAGATCCAGAATGACAGTTTGACAGTGTTGCAGCTCATAAATGCGCCAAAGGAAGTCAGATATGCTTTGAATTCTGATTGGTCCATCAAATGTACGAACCATAAGAAGGCACATAGCAGATTTTGATGTAAAGAA